TTCGGACTGGGGGCTGAAGCACTGTGAGAAGGTGCAGCAGGAGTACAGCAAGGAGAGCTGGTCTGGGTTGGTGCCGCACTTTACGGGCAAGGTCCCCGAGACGAAGAAGTGCGAGGCATGATACGGATGAGAAATGTCACGTAATGAGGGGGCAAGTTCATGTTCTATTCAGAGGGTAAAAGATTGAGCCGCGATGCAAGTATGAGCGGATGGAAGGAATATACTCAAATTGATAGGCTGCAACAATCGCGTGATGATTCTTGCTGGCTGCCTAGCTGATAAATTGTTTTAAACCCAACAGCTGCGCTGGCGAGGTTCAGTCTGTGGTCCGGAGATTCCATTGTGAGCTCAGCTTGTCGTGAGGGTACCAGACGGCAATCCCCAAGACGACGCTGCCCGCTTTTTTGTAGATGCACATACAATACAGCGGTGTTCAAAGTGTTTCTCAATCCGAATCAAAGTTTACGACGATCTGATTTATTACAAATGTGAAAAATCTGAAAGAAATGCCATAGACGATAGGCTTGCTGGTCACAATCTGCCCGGCCGGTCTGCCCGGCAGCGATCTGCTCACATTTACTTCTCAACATCCTCCGCAACAGTCGACATGCCAGTAATGACAGAAACATTTATGACAGGCACCAGATACTTGTCCCTTCCGTACGCGAAATAATAGACCACGCCAAACAACACCCAACCGGCCAACACGACCGTAGAATAATTCATCGTCTGCGCCGTGACGGGCATCATGGTCGGGAACGTGCTGAAGACAACAACGACGGCCATCCAGATGAGGCTGACGACGTTCATGGCCGGTCCCAGGACCTTTCCGAGCTTGAACTTGCCGTAGTCGTTTGTATACAGTACCTTCCTGCCGCGGAAGAGCATGTAGCCGATCGGAAGGGCGTACGAGAGGTACATGCCAATAATGGCCATTGACAGCACAGCGTTGAAGGCTGTCGTGTTTCCGATGTAGATAAGGCCGAGGAGCATCTGAAGGATGGTGACGACAACTACAGCGCGGACAGGGACGTGCTGCGTCTTGTTGACGAAGCTGAGATAGTGATCGAAGGGGGTGGCCTTGTCGCGAGCGAAAGCCCACAGGGTTCGAGAGGTGGAGGTCACGCCCGCCACGGTGGCGGCAATGGCGATGAGTATAAGCATCAGAGACATGATTGTGGCGCCAGCGCGGGACTCTGTGACGTCCAAATAGATCTGCATAAAGGGAAAGCCGGTGCGGGAAGTGATGAGCGATTCCAGGGGCCCAGTAGAGAAGAGCAGGACGATGACATAGACGAGTCCCATCAGTCCGTTGACAACCACGCTGCCGACCATGGCGAGCGGAACGTTGCGGCTGGCGTCTGGCAGCTCTTCAGCCAGGTGGCAAGCAGCATCGTAACTATGCGTGATCAGTATTTCTCATGCCAGGGAAATCGACATCGAAATTTGGGCTTACCCGAGGAAGGGATAGACGGCGCTGAGCAAGCCAACGAGCCAAGAAATTCCATCGCTCGACCAACCACTGTTGTTTGAAAACTCGGTAAAGACAAATGAGGCCGTATTCTTCTTTGACATGACGCCAAGGACGATGACAATCGCGACAAAGGCTGCTACATGAATGACACCTGCGATGAGGTTGGCGTGTGGCAGCGCCTTGGATCCCCAGATGTTCATAACCATGGCGTAGACGAGTACTGCCCAGTAAAACAACATGCCCTGCCATCTCTCCGGCACATAGTTATCATTGTTGATCGTTATGAGTGCTTGCAGCTGCAAACCAGCTGCAAAGGCGGCTGAAGCAGTCAAGATGGTTTGTCCGCCGACCGAGATCCAACCTGTCAGGAAGGAGACGCTGGATCGAGTGGATTCTGACGACAGGGCTGCGACCCAGTGGTATTGGCCTACGGAGATAATGATCAGCTCTTGTCTGGAAAGTTGACTTTGAACAAGATAGCAGTTCAGATCTGCTGCAGGAACACTCAAAGTTTCTCACCTCCAGCTGTTGGGAAGATCGATGCAATTTCGGCCAGAGAAGATGCGACGCAAATGGTGCAAAGAAACGAGATGACACTATGTGTCAAGTCAGTAACACTGTTTAGAGTTGCTGTCATGGGGATTTCGCAACGTACTAGTTGTAAAAGAGACAGGGGGCTCCTCCGCCAATGAGGCCAGCAGCGATGACTGTTGACAGAGCCTCCCACGTTGCCATCAAGCAGACACAAAGAGCAATCAGGGGCACAAGAGAGAAACGACGCTCAAGTTCCTGGGCATGGCCCAGTTGCGCCAGACGAGCCTCATCGCCTTCCGCAAAGACCGTCGATCGCATCTTCTTCAGCTCGACATCGTCGATTACCTTCTCCGGAGCCGGTGGGGCAGGCGAGGAGCCTGACATGGTGGTATGGGCTAATAGTCGTTTGATGTTCCCTTGAGGTTCGCTTGGTGCCGTCACAAGGATGACGTGATGGGGTGGTAAACAAAGAATATGATTCAAGATTGCAGCCGTGATACTGTGATGATGACCATTGATGCCTCATGGGCCCCGGATGACAGCGGTAGATGTAGTCGGGAGATATTCAGCATCCCGACAAGGCAATCCGAGGACATATCGTACAGGAGACTACGACGAGACAGGGGAACTGATACTGCAGCCACATCATCCTCTGACTGATTGGCCGACCAGTGGAGGGAAGACCATCAGCGATAGGAAAACATGGGGTAAAGCAGGGATCATGGGACATCAATCGGGCGCTCAGGGAAGTGTCGCTTACCGAGCGTGCTCGGAACCTGATAGCGGGGTTTCCGAGAACCATGAACCCTGCTTGGAGAAGCCGAACTATGCTCGAAGCGGTGTTGGGGGGCATGAGCTACCCCAAGCACAAGCTGTCGCCCTCAAAACCACGTCGTATTTTCGCATAATAGATTCACTGCACGCGTCTTCTCTTTCTCAACGACTTCCTCTCGACCACCCTGATTCTCTTCTTCACAATGACACAGATCCCTCACCCCCTTTCAGCCCTCACCGTTGCGGAGAGCGACGTGGCCCGTGATGCTGTATTGGCAGCTCACGAGGGCGCTGTGCTGAAGTTCCGCCTCATCTTCCTTCTCGAGCCCCCAAAGGCCGAAGTGATTACATTCCTTGACCTCGAGCACGCCGGAAAGGTCACTGCAGAGACCTCTCGCCCTATTCGCACAGCACAGGTTCACTACGATGTCATCGGCGGCGACAATGCTGCCGTGTACCAGGAATCCGTGGTCGACCTCAGCTCCAAGAAGGTAGTCGACACCAAGATTGTCGCCAAAGTACACCAAGCGAGCTTGGTCCTGTGAGTTCCCTCTCCCATTCCTGTTCGCCAGGTCGTGAGCTCATTTCATGTGCATAGCTCCGAGTTTGACGACCTTGTCAATGCATGCAAGGAGTCGCCGCTTTTCCAGGAAAAAGATTGCCGCTCTCGAGCTCCCGAAAGATTTCGAAGTCGTTGTCGAGCCCTGGCCATATGGGGCTCCCGAAGTGGCCGACGGCGATACTCGTCTTTTCCAAGCCCTGATTTTCGCGCGTGACACAAGCAGCGGGAACCCGGACTCCAACTTCTATGCCTTTCCATTACCCCTCATTCCTTTGAATGATGCAGCGACCGAAGAAGATTATCGCATTCGATGATCTCTCCCACCGGCGGCAAGGGGACCCGTTGAAGGACAAAACACCATAAAGCCCGCTGTTTCCTGAACACTTGAAACGGCCGAATATGTTCCAGAGCTTCTGGCTGGTTGCGTGAGACAAGACCTGAAGCCCTTGACTGTTGTCCAGCCCGATGGTTCCCGCTTCGGCATCACGGACAGCAACCTGATTCAGTGGCAAAAGTGGAGCATGCGAGTCACATTCAACCCGCGAGAGGGAGCCGTTGTCCACGATATTAGGTTTGACGGGCGCAGCGTGCTCTACAGGCTTAGTATGAGCGACATGGTCAGTACTTCCCCAAGCTGCATGTGATAAATTGAGCATGACTGACACAGTGTGAACTACTAGACTGTCCCGTATGCCGATCCGCGACCTCCCTTCCCCCGAAAGCAGGCATTTGACTTTGGAGACGGAGGCCTTGGAAATGCTGTCAACAATCTGACTTTGGGATGCGATTGTCTCGGTGTCATCAAGGTACGTCGCGAGTCCCAGTACAAGTCGCTCGCAGGTACACTTACATGCCATTAGTACTTCGACGGCGTCCTCACTGGGGCTGACGGCTCCGCCAACGAAACGAAGAACGTCATCTGTCTCCACGAACAAGATGCTGGTATTAACTGGAAGCACACCAACTGGAGGACCGGCCGCGCTGTTGTTACCCGCCGACGCGAGCTTGTGATCCAGTTCATCATCACGCTGGCTAACTACGAGTACATCTTCAACTACAAATTCGACCAAGCAGCCGGCATCACAGTCGAAGCCCGCGCGACAGGCATCGTCTCGGTCGTCAACATTGACCCCGGCAAGACGAGCCCATGGGGGAACATTGTCAGCCCAGGTGCCCTCGCTCAAAACCATCAGCACATCTTCTGCGTGCGCATCGACCCCGCGATTGATGGTCAGCAAAACACGGTTGTGCAAGAAGAGAGCCTTCCGGTTCGCATGGACAAGCGGACGAACCCCAATGGCAACTACTATGAGGTCCGACAAACGCCCATCACAACATCTGTAGGCCTTGATGCCGTGCCGCAGAACCACAGGGTGTTCAAGATCCAGAACACCAACAAGCTCAACCCCATCAGCGGCAAGCCCGTCGCGTACAAGATTGCGCCGCCTGCAACTCAACTGCTGCTCGCCGACCCGAACAGCACCCAGGCGAAGCGTGCTCTTTTCGCTCAGCACCACCTGTGGGTCACCAAATTCAAGGATGACGAACTGTACGCCGGTGGCCGCTATACACTGATGAGCAAGAAAGAGGTTGACGGCGTATCTGATGCGGCTGACCGCAACGACGATGTTCTCAATGAGGACGTCGTCGTGTGGAGCGTATTCGGCCTTACCCATAACCCTAGGATCGAAGATTGGCCCGTCATGTAAGTTTCCGGCATGTCAATCATGGGTGCTTCGAAATTTCTCTAACATCATATAGGCCTGTTGAAATTATGCAGCTTAACATTACTCCTTCTGATTTCTTCACCAGGAATCCAGCGATTGATGTGCCCTCAGACAAGGATCTTGGTTCGAAGCCCACAGAGGGGTGCTGCAGTAAGCTGTAGGATTAAGACACGCTGGATGATTTCATGATTTACGCGTTGGGGTGTATATAGAGATAAAGCTATTGCCAAGAAATTGCATCGAGATATTCAAATATCTGCCTCCGCACCATGTTAAAATCAATTCGTTCCGCCCGTGAAGATGGATTCGATAGATGCGACCGATCTCGAGCGCGTAGACACAGCGAGACTGCAAAATGGCGAAAACACGGCCGAGACGTCTCCTTCGTCTCGATTCCAAATCCATCACTCATGATTGGAGTGACGGAAATAAGACTCGAGCTGTGATAACACACGTCCATCCCACGTGTTACTGTGTCACTGATAATTTTGACCGAATGTATGCTTAATGCATTCTTCTGTGCAGACTGAAGCCAAGGTAACGTCGACACCGGTTCCGAAGAACACGAATGAAGCATCCTCGTGCCACTCCGACTGACACCCTGGCTCGGCTGCGGCACGGCACGGCATGATTATCGACAAAAGGGTTGTGGAAATGAAGGACTACTGTTCACACAGCGGCAGGCGACTGCGTTCCGAATGCGGATGCCTCATATAGCTCGGGACTGTTCCGACCATCTGCTCCTTCCGAGGGCTCTAGACCCCGCATCGCGGGGAGCAGCTAGTGCGGGGGAAGCCGGCCGGTGCACCATAACGTTTGGGATGGCGAAGATGTGAACATGGATTGGATGTGATGAGGTGGCGAAGGTTTGCCGAATGGGCAGAGGGTTCCTTCGTTCGAGGAATGGTCGGATGACGCGCGACATTGATCGGCCGAGGACCAATCTGCCATTCGTATAACATGGCCTCTGAACACATCTACCTTTATTATCGTGCTTCGAACTCGTACACAGTAGCATTCATACACCGCGCCTGACACACTCACCTTGGAACCTTTTTAATCTCATCTTCCCTCTCAGCGACACACTATAGTCTGGGCGTCTGCTTGCATCACGAAGACTGCCAAACGCCGCCATGGCTGTCATTGAAACCGTGGCCTTTCTCGCTCAGAAGGCACGCGAGAACACATTGGAAGCCTCCGTTGTTCTTCTCGTCGCTGTTCCAATCGTCTACGTGGTAATCAACGAGTTTGTCCGTAGCAATGCGCGCATTAAAGGCATGAAAGGACCTCGCGGTCTCCCTCTTATCGGTAACCTTTGGGACATTCGGACCAATGCCGCGGATCAGTATCGCCACTGGGCGAAAAAGCATGGCGACGTGTACCAGGTGCAACTCGGAAATGTACCAGTGGTCATCGTCAACTCAGCTTCGGCAGCCAAATCCCTTTTCGGTCAACACTCCCAGGCTCTGAGCTCCCGGCCGGAGACTTACACGTTCCACAAGGTCAGTATGAATCCGCAGCATTGAGTCTTGCCCATTCCCACCACGGCTTGGCCATTTGCCTGATATTGACTTGGGTCTGCAGGTTGTTTCGAGCACCGCCGGTACCACCATCGGCACGTCTCCTTACAGCGAATCTCTAAAGCGTCGTAGAAAGGGTGCTGCCTCTGCCCTCAATCGCCCCTCTGTGCAGACGTACGTTCCGCTTCTAGACGTCGAGACTCGGGACTTTATCGAGGAGCTCTATATAGACGGTAAGGCCGGAACAGCAGCTGTGGACCCCATGCCGATGATCCAGCGTCTTTCTCTATCGCTGGCGCTGTCGCTAAACTGGGGCGTGCGCATGAGCAATCGAGGCGAGCTTTTCGAGGAGATTACGCACGTCGAGGAGGAGGTCAGCCGCTTCAGATCGACAACGGGCAACTACCAAGACTATGTACCTCTCCTGCGACTCAATCCTTTCAACTTCCACTCGGCCAAGGCCCGCGAGATGCGCCACCGTCGAGACGTGTATCTTACGGCTCTCAATCAAGGTCTCGAGCAGCGAATGAAGGATGGCACTTACAAGCCTTGCATTCAAGCCAACGTCATGCTTGACGAGGAGGCCAGACTGAACGCCGAGGAGCTCACTTCTATCAGCTTGACCATGCTGTCTGGTGGCCTTGACACCCTCACGACGCTGGTCGCATGGTTCATCGGTCTCCTCGTTCACAAGCCTGAGATTCAAGAGAAGGCCGTCCAGGAGATCCGCGCCTTCTTCGGGGACAATGAGCCTCTCTGTGATTCTGAGGATGACCAAAAGTGCCCATACATGGTCGCTCTTGTGCGGGAGTCCCTTCGTTACTACACAGTTCTCCGCCTTGCTCTGCCGCGGGCCACTGTCCGCGACGTGGTCCACAACGGCATCACCATCCCCAAGGGATCCACGCTGTTCCTCAACGCTTGGGCCTGCAACATGGGTAAGTCTTTTCCCTATCCTGCGGCATGGCGCATCACCTGTTTGCTAATGTTTAACCTGCAGACGGCAATGTCTGGTCTGACCCAGAAGCCTTCCGTCCCGAGCGATGGCTCGAGCAGCCTGACGCGCCTCTCTTCACGTACGGCATGGTTACCGCATGTGCGCGGGGTCGCTCCTTGCTAACCGCGAGCTTTACCTGATCTACATGCGCATGATCAACAGCTTCAAGATTGTCAAGCACGACGACTTTGAGTCTGACCCAGTCAAGGGCAATGCGGACCCCACGAGTCTGGTCGCTCTGCCGAAGCGCTACTGCGCAAAGTTTGTTCCCCGCAATGAGACCGCGCTGCGCAAGGCACTGGACAGCACGAGACAGGTGGAAAGCGAGAAGCTGTAAATGCAGCAGCAAGTTTATCAGCAGTCTGTACATAGCCTATTTTCTTTGAACTAGTTACGAGGTTTTTCGAATTGAACAATCGATTCGCTGCTCATGACGAAGCCGCTATCTATGTTGTTTTGGGAGGCGTACGTAGTGCCTCCGGGAACGATTCCGATAATTCCGGCCACCTGAGCCGAGCGTCACCCCGCGATGATTCCGTGCACCCCGCATTCGCAACATGGCTGTCTGGGATGGGTGATCTGTCATGGCTCGGAAAGACATCAGTCGGGTCGAACTCGGCGTTCCTCATGGCCGAGGTACTCTTGAGCAGTCGCTCAGGGTCTTAAAACAATTGTCACGTCACTGCAAAAGCACCAGCGAACACTCCCAGCCTGTACATCCCGTGTCCTCCCAGGCCAGCCTATCAGATCAAACAGCAACCATGGCGAACACAAACCACGTCAACCGCATCACATTGTTCAAGATTCCCAATGAAGAAGACCGACAGAAGCTGCTGGAACTCTATAGAGGTATGCCCCAGAAGGCCATCAAGGTAGGCTGCAACTTTTTGTCGCCCTCGTCATTGAGAATCCCTGCTGATGGCACATCTCGTGACAGGACGGACAACCTTACCTTCTGGGTGTGAAGGCGGGTACTGCCTTCAAAGATCAGAGAGCACAAGGTTATACTGTGGCCGTACAGTCAACCTTTGCATCGGTGGACGACATGGCGTACTATGACAACGAATGTGCTGCACACGCCGAGCTGAAGGCTTTTGCCAAGTCCGTGAACCAAGGAGCAATGATGATTTACTTCCAAGACGAGCTGAAATAGACATCATGTTTGATGAAAATAATCATAGGGCCATTCTTGCTCAGCTCGCAATGCTACTTGGTGTTGAGAAGTATGGGATGATTTGTTTACCAGCCGCTACGCATGGTCGATGATCGGATCCGAGTTTCGCCCCGATCAGGCACGTGTCTCTTGGTCATATGAGTGCATGTTTTTGGCCTCGGTCTCATCGACTAGCCACCTTTTCTTTTTGACGGCATACGTACAGCCATGAATACCATCCCAAATCCACCGTCGTCTGAGAAAGCAGACTTCCAATCCATGCCCGGGACAAAGAAGCTACCTCGAGCGATTCGTGTCCTCATCACCACCAGGATTCGCAAGCCATCTGTCTGCACAGCCGCCAGATGAGGAGGTATTGTGGGCCTTGAGCTATGATTAAATCTGATTAGTGAAGACCGGTGGCTGAGAATCTTGCTTCAGGGACCCATTGCCGCCAAAACGAGGGATCTCGATCGCTGCAATCCAGGCTACTGGGTATCTAGCCAGCCCGACTTGAAAATCACTCGCAGCATAGCCACGATGAATGCATTCAAAATATCTCAGTACCTTCTGCTTCCCGTATTGCCCGTAGCAGCTAAGTCCATGACGGCTTGTCAGTTCGCTGATCGCGAAAAGATGCGGTCGCCAAACTCCAAGGCTAGGGAGGTCGCGCACATCTAACCCACCCATCATTCGATTCCTTGGCCATGCATATTTCCTGCCTACGGCGGCTCATTGGTAGCGATCAGATGGATAGCACATGATCTTCAAAAATATCTGCATGTTCGACCCCGCGATTCTGTCAGGCCGCAGTCGCAATCATTGGTCCTCTCAAGAACAACAGGCTGTGAACGTGCTCGCGACGGCAACCGACGATGGTCTGGCCAAAGCATAACAGACAAGGGTCGTGACTAAGGCCTTTCAATGCGAGACAAGTTGTCTCAAGAACGATCATTGGGGCGCAAGCCGCTAGCTGCTCCTGGTGGGCTCAATTGACGAGAAAACGAGCCTCGCACTTTTCTACAAGCCTTCACATGGGGACATGGGACTTTCGCCCTAAAAGAAGCTTAAAGAAAGGTCGCAGCCAGGTCCAATAAGGGCCCGAGCCATGGTACCAGATACCTACGGACTCCCCCGTTGGATAACGTTCGGTGGTGCCACGACGAGCATGCCAGATCCCAACCACAGCCCCTCCTGCCATTCAACACCCTCTCGCGTAAAGAAGCATAACGCCAGGTCTAGCCCGTTCAGGCAGCCTCGCCTCGAGAAACGACAGCAAAGATGGTCAGCCCTACCGGCAATCCCCCAACCCGACAACCTGGCTTGCATCTGCGCTAACCCTCTTGACACCCAGCCCAGCACGTTCTGGTTGCCAAGCCCAATAGCACAGCAAGCCCGTCTGGCCCCATCCAGCTGAGCCTCTGACACCCCAAAGTGGCCGAGCTAGACACTCAAGCCCTCGCTGGTGGGCCACTCAGAGCGCTTGCTGGTAGACAAGCCATGAGACGGCACTGGCTTGGCGGTCGATGGCGGTGCAGCCACAGCTGAGCTCTAGGCCCTCGCTAGCTTTGGGAAGTCTAGCCCTCAGAAATTGGGTTGTGAGTCTGCGGCTGGGTCGCCTCTCATTACCGAATGCAGCCGCGAGACCAAGGCGGAAAGGGAGAGGAAGATTGTATTGTACGGGGCATGGGTTGCTCGTGGCTTCTTCATATTGCTTGGCTCGCCCTCCTAACCCCCTGGCACGCTTGCGGGAGGTCTGACTTATGAAGTGCATCTTGGCCCTACTCGATTTCGGAGAACAACTGAGGGAGCAAGCCATCTTAACTACGAGCAAGGCATTGTGGCCTGCTTCAACTCGCCATGCATCAACCGCCACAGTATGAGCCGAACCGCCCGGAGGTGCTGGCGGAGGAGCTGTCGGCTCGAGAGCAGTACAAACACTATTCGATGCAGGGTGTCACCGAAGTCAAACCCCAACCAGGCTTTCCATCAGAAGAGACGGAGGACAAGAGGAGACGGACAAAGGCTGACTATCGCCCAATTTCCATGCGATGGCCTTTTGTATCATGCCTCCTTCTACTGATCCTCGCCGCCATGGGCTTGGTTGCCTGGACACAGCGATCATTGAAGGGAACTGATAGTACGGCAACGATCGAGCAACGGCAAGTCTTGGAAGAGAGAAGCTTTGTGAGTTCGAATGTGGCCGACGAAATACTTCATATTAGGCAAGATGCCGTGCCGAGTCCCGTGCCGACTGAAGCAGCGCCGAATCCTGAAGCAACGCCGGAGGCTGTCCCAGAGCCAGCACCCGAGCCTACGGAAACGGTTGGCAATGGAAATGACGACGACAACGGTGATGCTGCCGCTAGATTGCGTACGACGACAGAGGAGACATCGTCAGAGTTCACGACCACTGTCACAATACCCGGCTCCAGCATCGTGGAGACAGAGACCGTTCAAGTAACCATCGATACGGAGATCATCACCGACATCACCACGACTATCGTCGACACGGAAACGGTAGTCACGAGTGTTGTCACATCACAAGTGGTGCCGACCACCGAATTTTCGACCCTGTCCGATGGCTCGGTATCAACGATTGTAAACGAAAACACAATCCAAGCGACGATTGAGGCGACTGCAACCAACACAGTATCTCGCACCACTGTTGTTCTTGCGACGATCCCCGCCGGCCAAACGGCCACCGAAATAGTCCGGACGAGGACTGGCCCGCCCCAGGTCTATGTTTCGACAGGCACAACGACGCTCATCAACATCTACACGGTTCGTGCTGATGGCAGGACCCTCTCCAAGGGAGAGGGCGGCACGCCTGTGACCAAGCTTGTTACGAGCGACGTAGCCGGCAAGGTCGTCACAGAGACCGACCTCGGTGTACCAACGACTATTGTGACGACTGATGCCAACGGCCAGCCTATTACCATTGTGTCAACCCCAAGCCCAACCACCCGCGTAACGACTCTGCCGCCGACTCGTACCGTTCTGACGTCTGTCTCGACGCCTACCTCATCGACAGATCGTATCGTCATCGAGACGACGACTCTGTCATTCAGCGCCGTGAGCTACTTCCTCGGCAAGTTTCTGCCGCCTATTCTCGCCATTCTCCTCGGCATACCTATTCGTGCTCTCGACTGCGCCGCCAAGCTCTATCACCCGTTTGAGGCTCTATCACAATCACGTGGCGTACCTGGTCCGGCATCCCTCAACCTACACTTCGAGGGCTGGGGCGGCTTTTTCTTGCCCTTCAAGCTCATGGGCAAGTCCTATCCGGCGACCGGCCTCACGACTCTGCTGGTCTGCATCTCCGCTTTCCTGACCCCCGTCGCCACCGAAGCCATTGGCATGAAGATTCACGGCCAATGCAGCGCCAACGCAATTGACGGTTGCGGCCTCAAGCTCGGCATCAATACCATCGCCAGCGGCGTCCTCATCGCCATGCTGGCCGTGCTGGCGCTTCTCGTCCTCGTCCTTCTCGGCGTTCTCGCCCGCTGGCGCTCCGGCGTCTTTGCCGATCCCTGGTGCGTCGCCGGCATGGCGGCCCTCGCCCGCAATCCGGACGTGCGCTCGTCAAACGAAGACGTCAAGTCCGTAGTCGCCGAGAAGCACCTACGCCATGGGCTGGTACCGCGACGCCGACGGCCGCGACGAGTACGGCCTCGTCCTCGTCGACGAGGCCGGCAGGAATCTGCAGGGCCAGCACGGCGCCGGCGCCTGGGACGGCCAGCCGATCGAGGCGGAGACGCTGCACCCGGCCGCCAGGCGGCAGAAGCCGCCCAACCACTTCATTGCGTTGACGTGGTGGTGGCGCATCCTGTTCGTCGTTGTGCTCTGCGGCATCGCGGCACTCGTGTTGTACTATCACATCACCAAGAAGCTGCCGCGCGATCTGCAGCGCTTCGTCGACAGCCAGAGGTTCGGCGGACGTTTCGTCTTCTCGGGCCTCGGCGTCGTCGTCATCTTTGCCTCCGAGTGTCTGTTCTGCAGTACGTTCCCTGTTCGTTGCGAAGAGTGTGCATTTCCGTGTTGTTTGACTGACATTGGCTTGTCTAGGCGTCGCCGTCATCGCCCCTTACCGACTCATGGCCAAGCGAGCTCAGCCCGCGCGCCGCTCGATTCTCGTCACGCTTCCGACCAACTCCTTCTCTGGCATCGCGACTGGTATCCGTACTGGCGATCCTGTGCTGTTCGTCGTGGCGCTCATGGCCGTCTTGTCCGAGTTCCTGCCGATTCTGCTGGCGAATGTGCCCTACAACCTGACGCAGACGAAGCTGACGCACGACATTTGCGCGAGAACGAGCGCCGGGTTGCTCGTACTTATGGCCGCTGTCGTGGTCGGCAGTCTGTTCATCCGCTGGCCTGACATGCCTGTCGATCCCCGTAGTGTTGGTGGCGCCATGTGGTATGTTTCCGAGTCGAGGTGGGTGTCGGGCCTCGGCGGTGTGGCGGCCATGGACAAGAAGGAGAGGAGGAAGAGGATCAAAGAGCTCGGCGGGCGGTGGTTCTACGGTAATGTCTTCGGAATGAGGGGCGAGCAGCTCGGTGTTGAGGTTGAGGATGGGTATAGGTCCGGCTATGGCCCAGGCCAGACGGCGGAGTACCGCGGGCCCTATTGAGATCGTGCGACAGTGGCTTTGTTTCTCAGGATAGCCAAATTGTAATCACCAGCGTTGGTTTTGATTGTCTCTAATTCGCGAAACTAATACAATTCCCGTCTCGTCGGGCTGCATGCAACATGAACTGCCCACGTCGCGATGTCTGTCACATACGACCATACCTACTGGAAAGCTCGGGATCCCGTCCGCTCTCCCTTTGATAAACCAGTAAGGGCCGAATCAGTAGTTGGGTGGGTGACCACCAGCGAATCCTCGGTGTTGTATGTTTTTGTTCTTGTTGTTTTGTTGCAGACGCAGCATCCTGTACGTGGGCCCGGGGGTGGATGGTCTTGGTGGAAGATCGCGAGTTGCAACAAGGTGCCTCGGTATTAGAGACGGCGTGAAAGGTGGAGGAGGAGACGGCGCGATCGAAAGACATGGAGGAGGTCTGTAATCCGCTCAATTGTTCATGTCAGGCCATGCTTGAACCGGCGTGTCTTTACTTTTCGTGTCTGACTTCTGATTGCATGAGGAGCCGACCTTGGTGATGAATCAATGTACTCGACGAATATGATCGCAATGATTATCCCATCTTCATTCTAAGGCCCTGGCTAGTATGCCGCGAATCTGTGGATCATCTCAGGATCCCGGGAACCCAAGGGGCGGGTCAATCCATCAAAACTTCCACCACATGCCGACGGGCCAGTGCCGATCACGGCCTACAGAGCCCCCCACGGGACCCCGGATTTGGGTAGAACGGTAGCTAACAAGTCGGCGGAGTTCCGCTGGCGTCTTCAAGCCGCCCCAGGGCTTCAACCCTGCGGCGCCTTGGCCTACCTTACCTACCTAGACAGCTGACGGCGGCCGTGCTAGGTACTTGGCGATGCCGCCCGTTGCGCGTGACGGGGAGGCCGAGCCGAGGAAGATCGTGCCCCTGAATCAACAGCATTCCGCAGACACAGCCCCAGAGTCTCAGCGCGACAGCCCGCCTGAGGTGCCATAATTCACGCATCGTCGCCCATCTCATCCTCCTCATTCTTTCTCAACCGCGCCAAGGCCTTTCACTTACCCGAAGGTCTTCTTGTTACGTATTCAAAGAGGCTACGCCCTACAGCCTCTCGCCCATCATGAAGTCGCCTATCCCTGACTACCTCAACCAGGTGCTCAAAAATGCGCGCGACAACGAGGATGGCGCACCGGCGGCCTACATCGAGACGCTCGCCAAGGCCGATACGTCGAGGCTCGCTGTAGCACTCGCCATGGTCGACGGCAACATTTACTCGGCTGGTGATGACGAGGTCGAGTTCTCCATTCAATCCATCTCCAAGGCATTTGTCTACGCCATTGCCATCGAGGACGCCGGCCTAGAGCGCGTCCTTGAGAAGATTGGCGTCGAACCCTCAGGCGACGCCTTTAACCGGCTCTCACTGCACAAGGGCACGAACCGGCCGATGAACCCCATGATCAATGCCGGCGCCATCACCGCCCACTCGCTCGTCGTGCGGCCCAATGCCACGGCCGAAGAGCGCACCGAGCGCATCCTCAAGACGCTCTCGCGCCTCGCAGGCCGCGAGCTGCACGTCGACGAGGAGGTGTACGAGGCCGAGCTGCGCGACGCCGACCGCAACATGGGCATCGGCTACATGCTCAAGGCGGCGGGCATCATCTCGTGCGACCCGCGCGAGGCGGTCAAGGGCTACATCCGGCAGTGCGCCATCAACGTCAACGTGCGCGACCTCGCCATGATGGCGGCGACGCTCTGCAATGCCGGCCTGCACCCCGTGTCGGGCGAGCGCGTCATCCACCAGGCCCAGCGTGCGGCAGGTGCTCTCCGTCATGACAACGTGCGGCATGTACGACGCCGCCGGCGACTGGGTGTCCAACGTCGGCATCCCCGCCAAGAGCGGCGTCGCCGGCGGCATCATCGGCGCGCTGCCGGGCCAGGTCGGCATCGCCGCCTTCTCGCCCAAGCTCGACGCCCGCGGCAACAGCGTCCGCGGCGTCGTCATCTGCGAGCAGCTCTCGCGCGACATGGGCCTGCACATGATGGACGTCAGCCAGATCGCCATGTCCACCGTCCAGACCTCCGTCGCCACCATCGTCGCCGGCGTCCACGAGCCCCACAACAGGAACTGCCAGCGCGAGGTCATCGTCTTCAAGCTGCGCGGCGCCGTGCGCTTTCCCGGCTCCGAACGCCTCACGCGCGCCGTCGCCCGCGAGCTCGGCCGCCCGAACCCCGACGATCCCGGCTCCGGCCTGCACGGCGATGCCTGCGCCGTCATCTTCTCGTTCCGCGAGGTCTACTCCCTCAACCACGTGGCGCGGCGCATCATCCACGAGGACATTAGCCGCCTGATCCTCGAGGAGAAGATCGTCGTCGTCATCGACCCCTCGGGCGTGCTGCAGTGGAACCACGACGAAGCCGAGAACGATCGGCATCCGAAGGTCGTCAGGAACGAGACAGAGGCCCGGGACTTCATCGGAGGCACCGGCTGCAAGGCAGTCTCTACTGATGATGGCTGGTGATCGGCGAATGGACGATTCAACAGGGACTCACGAGATCCCTGATTTCTCTCTAGCCCAATGATACCTAATGACTTTCATGTTTTATTGAACCACGTAGAAGCTAAGCTGCGACGACCCAAGTCCTGTCTAGCTGCCTCATCACGCTAGCACGCTGTCCGTCATGATCCAACGGCACAAACTTCCCCAAGATAGAATCCGAGTAGCTGCTGTAATGACGGGTATTATTCTCTAGAATGTCTGTGTTCATAAATCGTAAAGCCGCAGTTCGGCCCGCGCAACATGTCGACATGATTACTCGTCGCAATGCTTGGGTCTAACGGCCTTTCTTGTGCTGTGGATGCTCCAACATCGGCTCTGATCTTTTCCATACAGCTCCCACCAGCGGTGTCTATCGCAGCAACAGGAATCCCACCATCCATCACACAGCTTGCTTCTCATTCGTCTGTCCCGCGAGGGACCCGACCTTCAACCACTGTAGTATGCTCGGGTCCTGACTAGGCGGCACCTTCTTGCCGTTTCCACTCATCGGAGTCTGCAGGAACGGATCCTCCTTCGGTGTGCTGGGGTGCACTTCAATGTTGTAGGCCAGCTCTGCCTTGCTGTGACGCGCCTGGTCGACCAGCTGCACAATGTCGATGTCCCCTGTTCCACTAATGCCGCTGCGCGCAGCACGTGCTAGGGCCTCGCGATGTGCGATGGGAATACTGGATACCCGGCCTGCCAGATGACCCTCGCCTTCAGGGGGACCGCTGGTGCCCCATTGGTAGTTCACAGGGCGCAGCAGCGCGGCGCCCGTCTGGAGAACCCAAGCTTCGGCAGCACCCATGTCGTGATCTTTCTTCTTGGGGCGCCACTTCTTCGGCAGCGGGCGTGTCACAACCTGGCGTGTGGCGATGAAGGCACGCTTGATGGCCTGGAAGAGCGAGTACACGTAATGGTCGGGGATCTTGCGGATGAGAGCGCCTAGAGGGATGACGAGCACGCCAAACAGCATAGACCAGCCCCACTGCGCGCCCGTCAGGGGCTTCGTATCAAAGGCCTCGCCACCCTTCCAAATGATGACCATCTGACCCGCAAGAGTGGCACACTGGACACCGAGGAACCATGGGTTGCGGAGAACACCTTGATACCAAATGTTGAGCTTGTTGTCGACGCGACGGCAGTTGTGCTGGTTGAAGAATTGCATCCACACATAGATGTTGAAGGTGAGAGTCTGGACCTGGTCCTTTTCAAACTCGGTCACAGCATTGAAGAAAGACTCGCCGGCGTAGTGAAGCGTGAACATGACAGCGAGCTGGTAAACAGCCAGTCCTAGGATCATTTTCCACATGGTAATACTAACGATCGGGGCTGTGCGAGGTTCCGGCTTTCTTTTGAGGAAATCGCGCGAGGGGTAGTCGGTGGCGAGGCCAAGGGAGGCGAAAATATCCATGATAAGGTTGATCCAGAGAAGCTGTACGATGGTGAAAATGACGTCGCCTGCAAGTTCAGAAACGACAGTCAAGGTACCAGCAGTGATGTTGATGGTGAATTGGAACTGGAAAACCGTGAGTGAGATGTTTCAAGGAAGGGGGGATAAGACGTACCTGGAGGAACTTCTTCGTTGCATCGTTCACAGTCCTACCCCAGACGAGAGCCTTGACAATGGAAGCAAAGTTATCGTCGAGCAGGATGATGGATGCAGCCTCTTTGGCCACTTCGGTGCCCTGGATACCCATGGCGAAGCCCACATCGGCAGCCTTCAGAGCCAGAGCGTCATTGGTGCCGTCGCCTGTGACGGCAACAGTCTCGCCCATGCCCTTGAGGTGGGTCACAAGCAACAGCTTGTCCTCGGGACTCGATCGCGCGAGAACCTGTAGTCGAGGAATAACAAGATCGAGTTGGTTAGGCGTCAGTCGTCGGAAGGTCGGGCCATCAAGGGCCAATCCACCTGGCGTGTAGATGCCACAGTCCGTTGCAATAGCCTTGGCCGTCAGGAAGTTGTCACCAGTGACCATGCGTACGAACACGCCGGCATCTTGACACTGCCTCACAGACTTGATGACCTCTGGTCGCAGGGGATCACGGATACCGAAGACACCAACAAAGGTCATGTTGCAAAAGTGCTTGTCAAATGGGATGGAATCGGCATCGTTCGGGTCATCAAAGGCTTCCTTAACGTGAAAGTCACGGTAAGCAATGACAACTGGTCGCAGCATGTTCTTGGCGTACAGCTCAATTGACGCGTGGATCTCGTCGCGTGTCTCTTTGCTGATGGCCTGGGTGGACAGACCGGCGGTCTTGGGGTCAGCGAGCATGTCAGTGCATTGATCAAAAACGACCTCAGCAGCACCCTTGGCTAACATGCGATACCGTGTATCTTCCAGCTTGCTCATGACAGCCATCCACTTGCGTGAGGCATCAAAGGGCGACAAGTTGGCGATGTTTCCGTTGGCTCGTTCCTCGTCGAGATGTCCCATAGCCAGGAACTCGCGGCCGAACTTGAGAAGAGCCGTTTCGGTGCTGGTGCCGACAAAATTGGTCTCGCCAGCCTCGCCGCTCTCAAAGGCTGTCGAGTTGAGGGCGAAGCTGTTCCGCACGAGGCTCTTCACGTCATCTGACAGGGTTGATACAAAGCTGGGAATGGACGGTGAGTGTCCAGCAGAAGTCACGTCGGCCGTCTTTTCTGATTTGACGGACGTCTCAGATGCGCTGAGGGCGGAACTCGTGGGGCCTATCGCCCCAAATTCAGCGACACCAATCTTTCCAATGACAACCGTCATGACATTTTGTGTCAGTGTGCCCGTCTTGTCGGAGCAGATACATGTGGCATTGCCCATGATTTCGCAGGACCGGATAAGTCGCACCAAGTTATTGTCCCTCAGCATGCGTTTCGTGGCGAAAGCGAGAGCCAGCGTCACAGCAAGCGATAGACCTTCCGGGACGGTAATGATGACGACGGTGACGGCGAGGATCAGTACTTTGAAGAATTGCTCGGCCTTCTCGGATGCCGTTCCACCCATATTGGGAATGTTGACGCAGAATCGAATGAACATGACGAGAAAGAAGCAGATACCAGCGATGGCACCGAAAACAATGAGCTGCTTCGCCAGCTTGCCAAGTTTTTGCTGCAGCGGTGTCTCTTCGACATCCTCGCGTAGCGACATGAGGGTACGACCATACGACGAGTTTGTGCCGACGGAAACAACAAGGTAGGTTCCGATTCCTCCACACACTGTCGTACCGCTGATGATGAAGGGATCGGGGAGGTGCGCTTTGCGCGCGAGAAGAGCCTCGTCGTCGCTCACAGCATTCTTGTGAACCAGTTCTGACTCGCCAGAGATGGACGATTCATCGACCTGGACACCTGCACCAGATACGAGTACTCCATCGACAGCCACAACATCACCGGTTTCGACGTGCATGATGTCGCCAACAAGCACCTCGTGAACCGAGACATTCTGGGTCCGGCCTGACCGAATCACCTTGACTTCGCGCTGCTCCTTGCGCTCGTTGAGCTTCGCAAACTTTTGGTTTTTCTGCCAATCGGTAGCAGCACTCGCAAAAACGATGACAAGGATAGCGACGACGACAGTCACGCCGTCGACCCATTGGATTTTACCGCCCGCATCTTCAGCGTCCACCGACTCGTATATTCCCAACGCCAACGAAATGACAGCTGATATAGTCAGAAGAAAGATGAGCTTATCGTTGAACGCAATCCACGCGAGCCTGAGAAATGATTTTTGTTTCCGTTTCGGCAATTTGTTGAGACCGAATACGCGTATACGGTCTTGAAAGCTTTGATCGCGGTGGCCCCCGAGACCCAGGTCGACATCGAGGTGGAATGTAGTGTCGTCTTTGGTAGGCGCCAGGACTGGCGTTAATTCGGGTCGTCGTCGTGCTTTGCCTGCTGAAACAGCCTCCTCAAATGTGATGGTGCCGTCGAGCTGTGCTTCGTCAACACTCAGGCCCGCGGCCGTATCTGTGCGTAGACCCGTCGCGAGACCCTGCAGTCCGCCAAAGGCACGGAGGGCCGACAGTGATCGTGCATATATGAGCTGATGTAGTTGAGTCGGGGTGAAAGCAAAGTTATTGTTCTTCGGCCTGTCAGCTTCTGGCTCCGCGTCCAGTTCCTTGATATCGAACTCCTTGTCAATGCTCTTCTCTTCGGGAGCAGGGGAAGATGCGAGGGGCGACACAGCGCGCGGGGCGCCAGAGTCATACGGCCGTGGCGCCGCCGCCGTAATGTCGTCGCTCATCTGTTTTTATTGCCTTTGCCTGGCAAGAGGCGATCAGGCAATGCGACACAGGCGATGCGATTGTCCCAGAACGCAGGGCTTATGCGAATGCGATGAATGGGTGTTCAGCGGTGGAAGGGAACACTAAGACCGGTGTGAACGACGATGGGGAAGGAAAGACAAGAGAAACAATTGAGACGTGGCCAACGAGTTCAGAATACCAAGAGTCCAAGACCTCGGCCGCAGGGGTTTGAGGGGGGAGGCAGAGGTAATAACGATGTTCCGCGCCAGCTTGACCATGGACCCCCAATGCTGACGCCCAGCCATTTTCTTCGAGCCTCATACCCAGTCTCCATACGACGAAGACACTGCATGTCGCTGGGATGGTGGTCCACCGAGTCATCGCTGCGGGGACCAGGGCCAAGAGGTTGGATGCCAAGGCTGAAGAGCCTCGTAGCCGGGCTACTGACAGAGTGTGGTCGCGGGCCACGTCACGGGTTATCTTGGCAGTTCGACGGCGATCCTGCACAAGCCCAGCCAAACATTGCTGCGGGTTAGCACTATGCTGCACCTCCCTAAGTTTTGTGGTAGTGAGAAATCTGTGGCCTTGGCTCTTCGGGCGAGCATGGGGCTAGTATAAAGTAGCCCGTGTTTTTGCCCTCGGAATGGCATTGGCTACCGCAGCTCATGATTCACATACTGCAGGCAAGCACACAAAGTAGCCGTAGTCACCACCACGCGGCGGACAGCGTCTGCCGTGGGTCGCCTGTGGTCGCAACGGAGTGGCAACCGGAGGGCACGTGTCCATCGGCGAGCCCGGCCCTGTCCGCGTCCCGTGAGGCTCCTCTTCTCCCGCCGCTCTCGTCAATCGATACCGGCATGCTGTTGGCCATTGTTGGGGTGAGACTGGGGTGCAAAGAGGGCTGTGCAAACGGGGGCCTCAGTCGCTTGAGGGTTCCTTCACGCGGGTCTTGCTTGCTGAGTCGCAGAGCTGGCGCCCAGGATCTTTCATCAATGTACCCTTCACTGTCGAATCAGGTGCTTGGAATGGGAGGGGCCTCGAAAGCTTGACCCCGAATCAAAGCTTGGCTTCCGCGACAGTCATCAGAGCGCTCGGCTGTGCGTAAGAGGTGCAGAAGCGCCCTGCGAAGGACGCCGGTGAGGTCATCTGACCTGTTGCGTGTTCATTAGCGCAATTTGACGCCATGATGTCTGAAAGGAGACCTTTCGTTCGAGGCGCGGGGATGCCGATGATCAACGCGGCGGGCGATGCCGTGGATTGGATCATGGAGATTCAATCAAGCAGGTAAGGTGGCGGAATATGCATCGACATGCTTGGCAGAAGCATCACGTGCTAGGGTCCATCACGTGCCCCTTTTATAGCAAGAAATGCCGGTCCCGAGATGGAGCCCACTTGCTCGCCCTGTAGGGCCTCAAAGGCACTTGTCAGGGCTGTACAGCCCCTATAATGCAGTGCAGTCCGCTCACGCACCATTCTGGCGCCCGAATCCCGTTACCGAGCCACAAGCACAACTCAGAGCCTCCCTTCTGAGGCATTGTTTGTGCAACGACTCGCTCCAGTCGGACTTAGAAGTTGCACCTGCAGAGTTCATAGCAATAGTGCATAGCAATAGTGCAACTCTGTAGCATGTCGCTCGTCACTCCAACCTCGACAGGAATCGTCGCAGCGGTGCTGACAGGGGCATGTTCCTCGAGGACAACCAAAACAGTCTTCTCAAATTCAGTGATAACCCGATGGGTGTAATGCCTTGATAGCCTGCTGCTGGAGTGCCTGGCAAGGGGTGACGAGGTAGGGGTAGTTGGCCGTTCTACACCCCACTCATCACCGAAAATACCACTTGCACAGCCTGTCAGCACACCAATTCGGACCCTTGCTGTTGGGACCTGTCTCTCTTCCGATGACAGCAAAGAAGAGCAGCTCGTTTGCCGCAAGTTAATCTTAGTTCTTGAGTAAAACGGTTCTCTTGGCAGCTATTCCGCGAAAAAGTCCAGCGCGATCTCTCTGTCTGACGTCGACGTGCTAATTGATGACTTGATGATTGACACCTACCACGTTTTGAATTGGTCCGGGGGCTCAGAAGGTCCACGATCAATAGAACCTCTGGCTAGTCCTCGACGGTCATGCTCGACTTTCAAAATGCAGCCATGATGCGCATAGCCCTATCGTCCAGGCGTCACGCCGGCACGGTGCCATTGATGACAGCCAGCGTCAGGTTGGTGCCACAGTAGCGGCTGCCGATATAAAACAGATCGTTTTGGCCATGCTTATGTCGAGCACCGCGATGACGCTCGCTTCAACAGTATGCTCAGCCATCCAGTCGCTCATGACGAAGCCTTGGAAACCCAATTGGCTCTTTAGAAGGCCGTACAAGAGCTTGAAGTTCTGGCACCCGAAGAAATTGGCGACCTGTTGATAAACAAATGATGAAGCCAACACGACCACAATTAGACTTTGTGCATCATCTTGATCTCATTTTAGACGACAGCAATTTGGAAATATGGAAGCCGTGATCGCTGTTCCATTCGCTGGCGATTCTGAAGTGTTCTCGTAAGTGTTATGACGCGGGAGGGACCCACGCCGGAATTGCGCCTCGCCGCGTTGAATTCCTTTTCGTTCATCATCGAAAGCCACTTGCAGTTGACGATCGATGTCACTCCCTCCGAAAGCCGAAACTTGACTTCTCTTCTTCAGCTCATTAAGACATTCCTTCGGACATCTCTTATCAGTACGCTCGACAAGAAACAGGCCATGTTGGAGATGGACACTGTTGCTGCGGAGGACGCGTGGAGTATCGATCGCTGCCCTACTCTCAATTGACGGCCTGAGGTGCGACCTTCTCAATACATCACTCCGCAGTTTCCCTTGGTCCTGCCATTGAGAACATGTTCTAGCTGTGCGGCCATGAGCAAGGCTTCTAGAGCGTGGACATAGCAATCGACTCACCTCGAATCGAGAGTAATCAAGACGTCCTCGCTCGGTGGACCATTGGCAGAGAACCACAGCTCTTCCATACCTTCTTGTAGCGCTTCTATGGAGCTTTTGGGCCTATATGAAGGTGAGATCAAAGAAAAGGCGGCCAAGGTCCCAAAGACCCTTGTTTCTGTCATTGCGCTTAGTAAAAGTAATGTAAAGGGAATGTATTTTGTGCCGACGGGCGAGTGAAAAGGGTTTCCAGACGGAGCCGAAGAAACGCATGCTGGGCAGTTTTGGGCCAAACTGTTTCCCTTGTATTGTCATTTCTTACTTAGTTAGGTGATAATGTTTGCGTAACTGAATGAATATGGCGAGACCAGAAGTATAGATTCTCTGTCATGATACTTTACACATGCAACCTTAAGAAGAAAGTTTCTGGGCTTCAAAAGCAGGAACCTTGAATTATCGCATCCTCATGGCACACTGCTGCTGTGTAGCTTTGCCGAACTCCTTGGTACTGAGGCATCCTCCCGGTACACATTTTCACCACACTGGTTCTCTTCGGCTCCCCACCCTGATGCTCTGCACTCTATGTGTGCGGTGTGTGTTTACTAGGGGTAGACATGCTTGGTTGTGACGTGTTTTCCGTTGTCATTCTGATAGTCAGTGGGGATAAGAAACTTTCTAGCTGGGAAGTTCAGTTTAACTAAGTCATAGATCAATGCTTCATGTATATTTATCGGTACACGGGGGAGCGAACCGCGCCATGATGGCTGTTGTGGCGTCAGCGAGCACATCGGCCGTTTCCATGGCTTTGGCGAATTCCTCTTGCACGTCCGTTGTGAGATAAATGAGCCTCCAAGTGTCGGTCTGGGTCGCATACTTGACAGTGATGCATTGGCCACTGCTCATAACTGTTGTGATTGTGGAACTGCTGATCACCTTTTTGACCATCTCGGAGACTCAGTTTAGTGGGGATTGATGGCTGGATTACGGCTTGGTAATGGTGAACAAATACTTGTTGATATGGTTCAAAATCAATCGACAGAAGTTATTCGGGCGAGGCATGGCTTTAAATCCCTGTGGGGGATATGTGTGATGCCAGAGGTGATGAGAGTTGGTAATGAGAGTTGGTGATGAGAGTTGGTGATGAGAGTCGGTAATGAAAGTTGTTAACGAGAGTTGATGATTAGAGTTTGCCATAGAATATGGTAACGAGAGCCGATTATAGGAATTTGTGATCAGGGTTGGCTATGAAAGTTGGTGATGAGAGCCGGCAATGAGAATGAGTTATGAGATCGGTGTGGCGCAGCAATTTACAGACGTGGGCATACGCTGATGTTTAGCTCAGGGGGGTTGCCATTGTTAATGCAGGCTGCCAACTGAACCCATCTTCGGGCCCTCCCTGGCTGGCGCTCGCTTTCAATACAACGCCCATTCGTCATCGTTTGCATCTTTTCTGGACGGAACCGTGGTCATGATTGTTTAGACTTGGCACGCCAGAATTGAGGTGTGGTGTCCTGAAGGGACAGTCCATGACAGCCCCGGTTGGTTAAATCTGTGCACCAGCTGGCGTAACGGAACCACATGATTCACACTGGGGAACTTCCAACCGGAACTGCTGAACGGGCAGCACAGATCCAGACGCCACCACAATGCTGCGAGAAATTGTAAGGTGGACTGCTAGTTGACACTTTCCTCTCCTAGATGCCTCCCAATCGTCTCTCGTTTACTATGCCCTTGAGTCGGCTTGCCTTTCACACTCCCTTCCGTCGGCATGCCTACTGTATAAGCGTCAGAATGGCATCCACTGTAGTGGGCAAATCCGGTCGGGCGTACGTTCAAGGCGACATGCTCCAGCGTCATCGCGAGGATCATACGCTCAGCATCTTCAAAGCCGAGTAAGTCTCAACCTTATGCTCTCATATCGCCACTTAGTCAAGTCTCTGACATATCTCACCCAGGTCCGGTGAGGAGTCGTTTATCCTCAAGCGCGTACCTAGGCCGTTCTACGATCTGTCACTGCGCCTCGCAGCCGAGTTTACAGGGTCTCGTCGGCTTCGAATGCACATTGATTGCAACCCAGAAGAAGGCATTCTAGTCTATCCCTATTTTAGAGGCACCCTGCTTGACCTCGTACAGGAAGACCCGGACTTCCCTCCAGCAGAACGAAGAAAGATACTGCGACGCGTAGGAGAGGCAATACAAGAACTTCATGCCAAGGACTGGATGCACACTGGTACGCCCTCCGCAATCCAGGAAGTGCCGTTGAAAATGACTAACGAAATAATCATTCGTGACAGATGTGAAGCCTGATAACATACTGGCTAATTGGACTTGCGACAAAGAGGGTACCAAAACAGTGACCGATGTGGCCCTAGGCGATTTTGATATCGCTTCCAAGTCGGACACTGAAGAGCCCCGTCGAACCCCTTTTGCAATGGGAAACGTTATGTGGCGAAGCCCAGAAGGACAGACTGGAAGGGGTGTGACCAAGGCGTCGGATTTGTTCTCGTTTGGACTAGTAGTAAGTGGGCCACAGTCAAGCTTGGGGATCCATGCTAAATTCCGTTCACAGTGCATATATGCTCTTGGAGGTGGGGAATTATTGCTCTTGAACGATTATCAGGAGCTAGTAAAGAGTGGTATAAAGCCCGAACAAGAGATTTTGATTCGCCACTTTTCCTACTTTGGGCCAGTTTCCGAAGGACTCCTCAAGCAAGTCAATAGTGAGGATTAGCGTAACGCTTTGGAGGCAGCGTCCAAAGTAGCTGAGGCAGCAGTGAAGGAACAGCCGGAGCTAAGATTCGAGCGGTGGGGAGAGGAGCTTGGTGCCGAGGCACTCAATATGATATCTGGAATAACAAATCCAGACCCGACGGCCAGAACAGTGAGAGAAGAAGTCTTGGCGCATCAATGGTGGCAGGAAATCATGTAGCCAAGGCCACAACCAGTTGATGGGAACCCAGTTCAAAAGCCCCACGTGACACACCCCCCATCACATTTGTCTTATCGAGCCTCGTTGATAAGTGCCTCTGTTGCCGCTAGTCCTTTAGCAGCTAGCGCGCTTCGCTTGTCCCCGAACCCGACGTCAACATTTTCGCGATTCCTTTTTCTGTTTTACAGAGTATAGAGTCGCAAGCCGCGTCACGACACACCCACAGCATCCGAGGTACTCGGCGAAGAAAGCCACCATGAGCAATTACCGCCCCTCGTACTCAAACGGCCGCAACGGCCGGCGAGATGATCACCGCAACAAGAGGCCATACTATGACGCTCCTCCCCCGCCTCCATCACATGCCGCGCCCCCTCCTCCTCCTGGCCCCCCAGGTAGAGACAGCTGGCGCCATCGCGACAGTGATCGCGACTACCGAAGATCTGCCTCCCCTCGGCGCGACAGCTATCAACCTTCATATACCGGGCCCCGAGACAGCAGGCGATCCGATGCGTACAATCAGCGCGACCCGCGTCCGCCCCAGGGCGACTTCAACTTCCGGTTTGACAAGCCCGCTGGCGTCGGCGAGTCCTTCACCGATTCATATCGCCCAGGAGGAGGCGCGCCGCCAAGAAGGATGGCCCAGCCTCGGGGACGCGGTCGTGGAGGATATCGCGGACGCGCCAGATTCAATCCTGCCGAGCGTGAACTACTGCGCAAAGACAACAGCGAGGTGCAGGAGAAATTGGTTGGCGAAGACGATGGCGCGAAATATCGCAACATTGACGAACTGTCGGACGATGAAGAGACAGACATGGACATATCGGATCAGTCTGATGGCGATGCCGATGAACCCTCGAGCAAGCGCAGGCGCCGGGAGCACGGGAACGCGACGGCTGGCGACAGTGCCCCCAAGTGGTCTAACCCTGACGCCGAGACGGCTTTGCCACCGGAAGACGTACATCGCAAGAAAAAGGACATGGTCGCCATGATCCGGAAGGCGCGCATGGAGGACCAGGCGGCCAACAAATTGGCTGCCAGCACCGAGGCTGAGGATTTCATTTCATTCGATCTGGGCGACGACGATGAGGGGGAAATCAAGATGGATGGGAGCGCCAGCAACAATGCTTCTGGATCCAGTGGGCGTCAACAGCGGCCGCAGCATTCAACTGATCCGGCCGAGCAGAATGGGCGCCTTCCTGCCGACACGTCACTGCCTCCAAAGCCCCCCCTGCCACCAAGTCCAGGTTCTAAACCCCGCTCCATGGCATCTGTCCCCGATAACTCTGACCCCTTGGGCTCGCGCAAGCGCACCTTTGACGACGAGATCAAGCCTCCTTCCTACGGCGCACTAAAGAAGGTCAACAAAATGCCTGTCCGCGGCAACGTTGTCCCTGAATGGGAACCCGTTCGTGAGGAGGACGATTGTCCCTGGATTATTGCGGACCATTCTCAAACCTCTGACATGAGTGTTTGGTAAGTTTTGACACCCACCCCAAAGGGCAAAATTTGCTGATCCATGCCAGGCTTCACAAGGAGATTGTAGACTTTTACGAGCATGTGCGCCCTCGCGATTTTGAGCAGCGTATGCGAGGCGAGCTGATTGAACGCATCCGTGACTCCCTTCGCCGCAATCCCAAGTACCGCGGCTGCGAAGTTCACCCATTCGGGTCCTACATGTCCGGTTTGTACCTGCCCACTGCCGACATGGACATTGTTATCTGTTCAAAGGAATGGCTCTCCGGCCGCATGACTGCCTTCCCTGGCGGCAGCTCCTTATACAAATTTCGGGGCTTCCTCACACAAAATCGGCTTGCCGACCCCTCGTCCGTGGAGGTTATCGCCAAAGCCAGAGTGCCTCTGGTGAAGTACATTGACGCCGTCACTGGTTTGCGTGTCGATATCTCGTTCGACAGAATGGATGGTCCTGCTGCTATCAAGACATTTCTGGACTGGAAGGAGCAGTACCCCGCTCTGCCCATCCTCGTCACCATCATCAAGCACTTCCTCGCCATGCGCGGGCTCAATGAGCCTGTCAACGGCGGCATCGGCAGTTTCTCCGTTAGTTGCATGGTCATGAGCATGCTGCAGCTGATGCCCAAGGTGCAGAGCAAGAACCTCGTCCCAGAGCATCATCTCGGCGAGATGCTCATGGAATTCTTTGACCTTTATGGCAACAGGTTCGACTACAAGACCACGGCGATTCGCATTAACCCACCTGGTTATGTTCGCAAGGCGAGTCACCCACCTCTTGATTGACCAACAGAATGCTAATTTCCTACAGTCATCCAGAGACCATAACCTGACGTACAAGAACAGAGACCGCCTGTCGATCATCGACCCCAACAATTCCTCGAATGACATTTCTGGCGGCTCGAGCAATGTGGGAATCATCTTCTACGATTTCCACTCGGCGCACCGCATGATCAAGGAGCGCATGGCCGAGCTTTCCAAGGGAGGTGGCCACGGCACGAACACGGCGAGTATCCTTGAGACGATTCTCGCGGGGAATTACTCGTCATTCCGCCTGCAGCGTGGTCATCTGCGACTTCTTCATGAGAAGCACATCGGTCCTTGCGACGACTAGGAGTTTGCCTGAGGCGACACGGCCGTAATGTTTGTGGGTTTGCGGATCGACAGGAGCGCTCGGGGCGTTTGGGAATTGGTCGCACGCATGTAGTGCAAGGGAAGGGAGGCGGTTTCGAGCATAATGCCAATAAGGCGGGCGGCGGCGTACGGTGTTGAGGAGGACGGACTGTCGAGGCATGCTCTCAGGGACTCTATGATACCCGGGCCTCCCTTTTTCTTTTTCTGTTTTTTCCCCCCTCTGTCGAGGCTGGTTCACTCCCCTGCCCTGCCCTTTCGCGGGGCCTTTGGTCTGGCTCACTTGTATCTTATAGGGAACTGATTTGCAGGCAACACTGCTGTCGGAACCACCGAGCCCGCAGCTCGTGTCCTCCGCACTACCAGATCGCCTCGCGGTCCTAGGAGAAGACCTCTGCGGGCTCTTACGAATTCACATGCAGAGTTTCTCTCACCATCGACTTGTTTCGGATACAGCCTTGATGGCGGCTTCGATATTGACAATTTCTCGCAGGATTTACCCTTGCTTGTTGGCGGGGGCTCGAGTGACGGCGCTGTGCCTTTCGGGGCGCAGCTGCTGTTGCTCGTTTGGACACGGCTAGGCTCTTCGGAGCAACAGCCTTTTTCTCACTACAGGTTGTGCTTCACGCATGATTGTGGAGAGGAAGACGTTCACGAAGGACCGCTCTCATTGACTACGAAGGCTTGATCGAACTCTCGAGTTGACCGTAGATCAGAGGTTCTTTCTTTCGCGAAGCTGAGTTTGCCATTGGTTCCCTAAATCCATCTGCATGGCGCAGCTTTGCCTGGGAATGCAGAGTCACACAACCATCCGATCAAACCCAGGCCTGTCGTGGAGGAGGGGGGTTCAATTGGAAACCGTACAAACAATGATGCATGCTGCAGGTGCGAAGTATCCTGAGCCATCCAGGTAATTTCCGAGGGGCAGCAGCTGTTAGGATAAAGCAGCGTCTAGTGAGGGGTAATCCAGACCATATACCGCAGAATTATTGATTCAAGCACATACGACCATACCTACTGGAGAACTCGGGATCCCGTCCGCTCTCCCATAGATAAGCCAGTAAGGGTCGGACTAGTAGTTGGGTGGGTGACCACCAGCGAATCCCTGATGTTGTATGTTTTTGAATTTTGGCCATTTCCTCATATTACCTAGCTACCTACCACCTCGATGTCGGAAGGTATTCTCAATTCATCCAGGCTTTCTCATTTCTAGGTTTAATGACTTTTGAGACACGGTCTGGTGGGAGTGCTTGCGATTCTCTACTGGAGCAGGTGGCATATGGCCTGATCGCCTGGTGGTGATCTTGATATCGCCTACAGTTGCAGCAGAACAAACACCATCTGATTGTGGCAATGACGTCTTGCCATCACGCCTGTTCTTGATATATGTTGATACATGGCATGTATGGACATGGCATACATCTTTCACTGCAGAATGAATGATTTTACATACTGCTTAGTTCAGCCCCACAGTCTCTTCACCGTTCGGGCCCTCGGCCGTAGCATTGAGCTTGACCTCCTTCCCCACCGGACTTTGATATGCGCCGGGTCTGGTGTCCCTGAATGGTGCTGTGGGCGCCCACAGATGAATCTTGGCGCCGTTGCCAAGGGCCTTTGATCGATACCTGGCGTTGACGTAGAAAATGACCTTGGAGAAAAAGCCGAGGTCGTTCACTTGGCCAGTTCTCACGATACTCAGGTGGAGCGACACAGCGGTGACATTCGGACACCGCCTCGTCACCTCAATCGTGTGCAGAATATTGACTAGCTTGCTCCGCAATTATCACATCGATGCGCCGATATTCTCCTGCGGTATGTGAAGATATTCGAACTTGATATCGTTGCACGGGAAAGTGAGTAGAGCAAGCTTGAGACGAAAACAAGCCCGTAGCCTTGCCTGACTGTAGTAAGCTTGTGTCGAGACACTTGTCTTACTATCCTCATACTGCCAATACCTTCGCTCCGTTTAGGACAATAAGTGATCACTGTGCCTACACGCGAAGTAGGACTTAGCGAGTCTCTCCTGCGTCGAGGCCTGCGAAATTCAATTTGAAATTGGAATATTATTCTTTACGAGGTGTGGCTCAAAGAATGCCAGCGTGGCGGTGGGCGTCTCTGCTCGAAAGGCCCTGAAATTAGCAATTTGCTTTCGAATTTTCGTCGCTGAGCCAGCAATTCAAGTCCTTCAACCACGTACATCATTGATAGTTAGTACTTAAAGTCATTTCTAAAATACTCATTTCTGAGATTTCGGATTCACGGGATCCAAGACAAATGGTTGATCAATCATAGTACCATGTGCTGCACCATCACGTTCGACTTTGAGCGTCCGAATGGAGGAGAAGAGGTCAATCAAGTGGTCCGAGGGCTCGGAAGAGGCCGTCGCGTAAGAAGTGACATGCGCCCAGCTTATTCGGGGGCGGGGTATTGGCGACCGAGTCGAGCGGGAGTACTTCTATCGATATGCCGCGAAGGATCGGCTTCCTGCAATCGCAAGTGGCGTATCGGCCTTGGTTCGGCGGATCTGAATTGCCTAGATCCCGATGACCTCAACTTTTGCTCTTGGTTGCTGAGAGTCGTCCAGTCCTTTTGACGCTTGAGAAGATTGCGGATGGGTCGATCTTTTGATGCCTGTGGTACCTGGCAGCTTCCCTGCCTTGCTTGCCAGGTCACAGTGGCGGGGGGATCTCAGGAGGAATCAGGTGGATCGGAACGTGTGGGTGATACCATGCGGGCGGCCCGAATGACTGGCTCAGAGTGATGATTACACTGGCAAAGGATAGTTACAACGAATTACCGTCGAGGTTGACGCGTACAGCGTTATATAGTCGTTTCAGTAATATCGCAGTGAACACATGGTGGCATGAAGCCGGGAGCTGGTTTTGTGTGCAAGTTGTCTTGGGCTGGACTAAAAGCCTGTGTGTTGTTATGCTGAGGTATCTAGGTCATGGCATGTCAGCTTTCTCTGATCATCCGCCGGTAGCATCGAATTGTCTTGCGGGGAAGTTCTAGTAAGATGCCTCATCGCCTGTATGTTACTCTTGACTGGACTCCTTGGCGAGCTTGGCCTTCACTCAAGATGGTGTACAAAGTTGTGGCCATGGGTCGAACGCGTCACACCTGCAAGCAAGACTTCTCATATGCGGGGACGAATTGCATCCGACGCGACCAAAGGTTGGATGCCTGGTCTTATTGTCCAAAGGAATGGTTGTAGAAGAAGGGCCCCAGTGTGAACAATTGTCCGCGCATATAATTCGGTCTAATGCCATATTTCCGCTCCAAACATGTCCTATTGTTGGCGATCGACCATTAATCCTTGTCATTCAACCTTGCTTGTTGCTTCATCCGGCGTTTGGCGAAGCTGCATGATGCTACGCCCCGTGACAAGGATGGAATCCTTACTGCCGAGACCGACAAACCCCAACTCCCCCAAGATCGCTTCCAGGGCCAAGTTCGGGACCGAACCGTGGCGAGGTTGGACAAGATAGGAGACAGTCAAGTACATATCATGTGAAGACCCCCCACCGTGCTTGGGTAACAAGCTGCATCCATCCTGATCTCACACAGAGTGGACGTGCAACGGAATTCGAGTGTTGGGCTTCCAAGGCCTAGTATCACCACAACCACCACTGAAGAAAGTGGACCACACTCTACATGTACTGAAAAAACACTGGTGAATATTTGCCATCACAGAAACATGTGGCAGGCAAGCAATGTCTATGCCATCTGTGGCTTTGCCGCCATTGGTAAGTCTATCAACCGCAGGTGACTATCGTCTCACCATGTCTATCAAGCGACCTCTGGCTAAGCATGGTCTTATTCATCACAAAGAAGTTTGTTACTGATAATCTACAGGCGGTGGTCTATTCGGATTCGACATCTCTTCCATGTCTGGCGTCCTCGGCACCGAGGCTTATCGCCAGTACTTCGACCACCCAACCGAGTACCGCCAGGGTGGCATCACTGCCTCCATGCCTGTTGGCTCTCTCTTGGGTGCTCTTTTTTCTTCCTTTATCGCCGATCGTTTCTCTCGGAAGGTTTCTCTGCAAATCGCCTGTATCTTCTGGATCATCGGTGCTACATTTCAGTGTGCCGCCAACGGTGTGGCTCTACTCTGCGTGGGCCGCATTGTTGCCGGCTACTGCGTCGGTATATGCTCAGCCATCGTCCCTGTCTACCAGTCCGAGATTGCTCCTAAAGAGATTCGTGGCCGCGTCGTATCGCTGCAGCAGTGGGCCATTACTTGGGGTATTCTGATTCAGTACTTCATCCAGTATGGTGCGGCCGAGGGCACAGATGGTGGTCCGACCGATCCCGAGCAGTCAACCGCCGCTTTCCGTATTCCCTGGGGTGTCCAGATGGTGCCTGGCGTCATCCTCTTCTTCGGCCTATTTTTCTGCCCCTACAGTCCACGGTGGCTCGCGTCGAAGGATCGCTGGGAAGAGGCAATGAAGGTTCTCGTCCATGTCCATGGAAAGGGCAATCCCGATGACCCCAAAGTCCTCGCTCAGTATCAAGAAATCGAGGAGGCTCTACGCTTCGAACGTGAGCAGGCTGTTACAAGCTTCAAGGCGCTCGTCGCTCCAAGAATGTTCAAGCGCGTGCTTCTGGGCATGAGTTTGCAGGCTTGGTCGCAGCTTTGCGGAATGAACATTATGATGTGTAAGTTCGAGGCATATCGACGATGGAGAGTATCAGCACTAACAACCCCAGATTACATCGTCTACATCATGCAAGGCGCTGGCCTTGGCAACCCTCTTCTGACAGCTTCGGTACAGTATATCATCAACGTTGCCCTTACCCTTCCCGCTATTATCTTCCTCGACAAGTGGGGTCGCCGTAAGCCCCTCATCATCGGCTCCTTCTTCATGATGACCTGGCTCTTCATCTCGGGTGCGTTGCAACAGGCCTATGGCGAGCCGAACACGGATGAGACGCGCACCACTGAGAACTCTGATGTCACCTGGATCGTTTACGAGCAGCGACCCGTTTCTATAGCTATTGTCTCATGCTCCTATCTCTTCGTCGCAACTTTCGCGACCACTTGGGACCAGTGTCCTGGACCTACCCTGCCGAGATCTTCAAGAAAAAAGGACGCCCCAAGGCTGTTCGGCCCCCCAAAAAAAAAAGATTGGCTCTTCCAACACTGTTCTGGTTTTGCGGCCCCCCCCCCGGCTCGGAAAAAAAAACTAAAACAAGTTATTATTATCTTTC